CATGCTCTAGCAGGACTCCTGGCCAATTCTAGCATTACCTTATCCCATAGCCTCTATCATGCTAACTTGTCTAGCCACAATCCAACTTTTTTAATTACTCTAAAATCAAATGGAACACCTTGGTGTTTTCAGTCCTTAACTACCATAATACATACAAACCTTAACAAGAATTTCTCCCATCAGGAAGACAGAAATGTTTTTAACTGCGACCAGGATGGCCTCACTTGCAATTTCTCAGAGAACTAAACCTCCTATAATTGTAACACAAACCAAATCGCTACCTACTGCTATAGAAATGGTACACACACCGTGAGCAGGTATTTGCAATGGATCCCTTTCTTAAAACGGGACCAAATGCTACTAACTGTACCCTCTAATCCCTCAATAGCTCCACTATCTGCAAAACAACTTTGCAGGCACAGATTATACAAAACTGGAAGAGAATCTTTTTTTCCCTCATATAAGGGGAGAAAAAGAAGCCAATATCCTGCTGCAATACACAGGCATTGACGTCAATCACTAATTGGCTAAATCATTTCTCCCTAGATCTCACTAAACCTAATGATCCTAATGGATATCTTTACTTACCCAAAAGACTTATTTTTCTAGGAAAAATACCCCAAGTTAGAATAGCTCAACAATACATTAACCCATATACAATCATAGGAACATGGACAACAGGCTACACCACGCCCCCTGAGCAAACTGTTTAGATTTATCATCCTCACAAAAGGTACAAAAGGGCCATAGTTTTACTTGTTCTAGGCCTAACAGCCTTCATTGGAAGCCTAATTGGGCTAGCCAGGGGCATTACCTACAGTGCTGTTACAGCCAAAAATATAACTGACTCAGCAGTTAGAGTGTTGGCCCATGGACCAATGAGCTATGGGTTCAGTTCCAGTCAAGGGCACATACCTCAGTTCCGGTTCATCTCCAGCCCTGGTCAGGGTCATGCAACCAGTCGATGTGTCTCTCTCACATCAATGTTTCTCTCTCTCTCCCTTTCTTCCTCTCGGTTCTTGGAAGTAGAAAATTGTAATTTATAACAATTATAACAACATTGATTGGCTTATGCCATTCACTCAGCATATATATATGCTTCAATGGCCACTATTGCTACCACTATTGGCAGAGACTTAAGATCATTATCTCAATCAATAAATTTGCTAGCCAAGATGGTCATTGATAACCACATTGCATTATATTACTTATTAGATTCCCAAGGAAGAGTATGTGCCCTAGCAAACACCTCATGCTGTTTCTGCATCAATATAACTGGACAAATAGAAACAGATGTTCAGACCATTTTAGAACATGCTACTTGGTTACAGGATTTTAGTCAAGAAAGCATAGAAGATACTATTTGGAATAAAATTAAGCAGGCACTTCCCAATTTAACTTGGTTCTTACCCTTGTTAGGCCCACTAATAACTCACACTTATCTGCACCTTTCGACCCTGCCTAATAAGAAAATTAATGGCTATTTCCTCCCAGATACAGGCAATGCATCTACAAATAATGGTTCAACAAGGCTATCAGTCTATATATCAAAATCCATTGGACCAGGCTACATAGCACTTGCACTCCACTCCAACCCAGCCACCCCACCCAGAGAGCAAGGGATATCGGGCCAATATAGCTCTACATCCTAATTCTGCAAGTAGATTCGGAAGCCAGAATATCATCCCTCAACTTCCCACACAAATTTGGCCAATATTACTTGAGCTGGGGAATGTTAGAGTAGGTAGCTAGATAGACATGAGCTGGGACAGATGGCTAAAAATCAAGGGGAAGGTGTGACAAACAAGAATTAACTAAGAATTAGCAGACCCAAGAGTTAGAAAGGGGAGACTTGAAACCTCCTCCAAGGTATGGTCTAATATACAGCTTAACATCTGGGTAGGGCAGCCTTGAAACCTGAGGAGATATTTTTTTTGTTTTTACACAACCCAGCTCTGAGGTATAAAATTTCAAATGCCCAAGTGAGTGGAGCACTTGGTTTGACTTCAACTAGCTTAGCTGCCCACTTAGACTATATCTGAGTATATTTCCTTTTCTTGCAAATAAACTATTGCATGCTGTGCTGCTATTTGGTATTTTCTCTTGTTTGAATTCCTTCCTACAAGCAAGACAAGAACCGAGGGCACAGAGACCACCTCGAACATTCTGTCTGACCTATCTAATATTTAACAAATATACACTACTACTCTCACAATAAAAACCCAGATGGTTAAAAAAACAAAAAACAATGGGTTATAATAAACATGAAGGTAAAACATTTTTTTTTTTATTTAACAGACCATGATATTTTTCCTATCTTTTAAAACTCCTTGTCCTTATTTTATTTTGTTTTTTTATCCTCACCTGAGGACATTTTTTCCATTTTTTGTTCAGATAGAGTGGGAGGGAGAGAGAGGAAGAGAAAGAGAGAGAGAAACATCGACGTGAAAGGGACACATCGAATGGCTGCCACCCACACGACCCAACCAGGGCCAGGGACAAACTGCAACCAAGGTACGTGCCCTTAGCGGGAACCGAACCCAGGTGTCACTGGACCGCAGGCTGACGCTCCAACCACTGAGCCAAACCAGCCAGGGCATTCCTTGTCCTTATTTATTAGCTTAAGTATGAGGGGTGTAAAGGAGAGTGGGCAGAATATGGACCAATAAAGTTTCTCTACAATTTGACAGGTGAAACGTTCCAAATTCATATGGGCTGGCAAGCTGTTCTTATTATGTTGTAACATATACAGAAAATTGTAATTTATAGCAATTATAATAACACCACTGATTGGGTTATACCATTCACTTAGCATCACTTTTATTATTTAAACCTTATACCAACCCTGCAAGGTAGATGTTATTATTTATAAATAAGGAAACTGAGATTCTAAGAGATAGAGTAACTTGCCAAAGATCCTCTGTGTTTATCTAGTCATGGCATAGTCAGACTAAAAATTCAGGCTTCTACTCTGAAGCCCAAACTCTTTTCAGTAAACAGCGGTGTATCTTACACTGTTTTACAGGACTAACTTTGAGGAATTAGTGTTTAGGCAGTTTGTATACCGTATGCATTTCAATAAGTAATTCTTTACACATAGAGACTAGACCAAATGGCAGCCAAATACACTGAAGATTGCTCCAGGCTACAGACAAGCAAGGGACAAATGTGTCTTAGAATCTATCAGCCTGTGTCTCAGCATATGAAGCATTTTCCACTTCATTATGTCCTCTAAAAGAAATCTATTTTCTAACAGGGCTTCATTATTCCTCCTTCTATACAGAGAGAGAGAGAGAGAGAGAGAGAGAGAGAGAGAGAGAAGGGGGGGAGGAGGAGGGAGGGGAAGAGGGAGGGGGAGGGGAGGGGAAGGGGAGAGGGAGAGGGAGGGGAGGGGGAGGGGGAGAGGGAGAAAAGAAAAAAAAAGGACTCTTTCATTGCAAACCAATGGGAAGTTCCTAACTCATTTCCTTATATTACTTGACATGAAAAGTGCTTTCTGTCTTTAGAGACAACTGCTGGATGCTATGCCTTTTGGGTGCTTTTGAGTCCCAACAATCAATACTGTGCAGATGAGAGATTAGTCCTTATATTCTTTTAAGGAGAGTGGGGTGATTTTAACCTTAATAAAAGCAGAATTCTAAAAAGAGAAAAGTAAAGTCACCCCCCTCTTCCCCCCCCCCGCCCGCCCCCATTTAAAGGAGAATTCAGCAGCCTTCCCTGAAGGAATTTGGCTATTATTTTTTTGACCTTCTTTTTTCCAGGAGCAGAGCTGAGAGAGATTATGAGGAAAACCATATGTTTTGAAAGTTTTTTCAAATTTATAGATGTTTCTGAACATTTGGAACTGTAAAGAAAATGTTTAAATTGGCTCTCATCTGCCCATATACTGCTTGAAAGATCCTATGCAGAGCAAAGGAAAGCACTTCCCATCCAGACCACTACAATCACAGGAAGAGCCAACCGCAGCATCACAAGCCCGGGAACTGAAGGTGAAAGGGGCATCTGGCAGTGGTGGAAACACCAGTGTGTCCCCCAAGGAAGTGGAAACGAAGCAACTCTGCCCTTTCTTCCAATCCACATACAACCTCTACAGCCAAGAACTTATTTTTAGACACCTAAACTGAAATTCCCAGAGAGGAAGGAAAACTACAACCTCTGAGTGATCCTCATAGTTCTTGGATCCAACCTGGTTATAGTTTTCATTTGTTTTCTGATTTCCAGTCCCTTCCTAAAACGATCTCTTATTCTTCAGAAGGCTTTCCCAGTCTAAGCCAAGAGAAAGATCTGGAAGCTTTAGAGCTTTAGTGATTAAAATCCCAGCAGCTACACTTCTGGAGGTGCACGACCTTGGGGAAGTATCTCATCCTCCTAAAGACTGAGTTTGTAGTTGGTAAGGCAGGGTTGATTGCTGTTATTAAAAAGTTGTGGAGACTTCAATATATAACACAGTACCCGGCTCTTGGTCGGACATTAGAAAGTGCCCTGTGTTTGTTATGGGTATACTGCACAAAGCCACTGGATCCTGGTTGAGTATGCACATTTTCACTGCCCAAGACTTGGCCATTACACTCATATTGATGATTAATGTTGTCAACCATTCACCTAACCTCATTAAGATATCACCTACCTGCTTCTAGTTCTCTATAGTTTCAGAGATCTGCAGAGCCCAAGAGATGGATTCTCATTAAGTGCAAGGAACAAAGTTCACCTGGGGTACCCTTCGCACCATATCGTTGAATACATGTCAGGTTTGGGCAGAAATGCATACAGGCTTTTTACATGGACAAAGCAGGTGTCCACACATTTCCTGAGGTAAAGGATGGGAAGGGCTCCTGACTAAAGTCTCCAGCTTGGGAATGGAATGGAAAGAAAAGGGAGTCGAACAAGAAAGCCTGGATGGAAGGGATGCCTCTGCGAGGCGATCCTCGCGGGGAACCGTGTCCTCGGGCGCCCTGGGAGGAAAGGACACGAGAGGGGAGGAGCCGCGAGGGCAGCAGTACCTGAAGAGTCTGGCCGCCGTCTCGTTCCTCCTCCACGCAGTGCCCTGTTGCAGCACCCCCTGCACGATCTCCTTCTCGTTGGGCAGCCGGTAGACGGGGAAAATGTAGAGCCAACAGAGGACCACGACGCAGAGGGCACTGGCTCCCACCGGCAGCCGGCTCCGCGGCAACTTCCACGCCAGTACAGCCATGGCCCCTCTGGACATGTGTAGCCGGGCCCGCCAGCAGGGGCTCATCGCTGCCCCAGGGTCCCGAGGGCGAAGCCCAGAGCCTCACACAGCGCTAGGCAAAGTAGCAGCGGAGGGTGCCCCCACCGCGGCCCCCATGCACACACACCTTTCGCTTTCTTGCTTGCACTCACACAAACGCTTCTTCGGCCCTCACGGCCCCAAAGGTCAGAGCAAGGATTTGTTTTTAATGCAACTTTTTCAAGGATTTCTTTCCAGGGTAAGTGCTCAGGGGGCAAGTCACGAGCTATGGCCACGGTTGCTTCCCCTGAAGAAGGCGGGCGCTGGGTTCTCCGCCAGCGCGGAGAGCGGCGGCGACGAGTCGCTCCCTCTGGTTCTGCAGCATCACTGTCGCCCGCGGCGTGGGTCCGGGGAGCGGCTGGGCTCGCTCTCAGACATTTGGCCCGTGGCGTCCCCTTTTGAGAGATGCTCCTGCGCCCTTAGCCGCTTCTCTCACCTCCCTCGCAGCTGCGCCGCCAGGCACCCCTCCGGACGCGCTCTCCGCCGCGCCAAGTCCTTGGAAATTTCCACGGCGGCCCGGGACCGCTATCCTGCCCCGAGCTTCTCCGCCGCGTCCGCCAGGACCCTCGCTTCCCACCCCTCCCGGAGAAGAAAATAACTCACTCTCATCAGTTAATTCAGCAGCGCGCTGCAGCCTTCCGCTGCGCTCCGACTTCGCAGACAAACGCCCGGGGATTGGTGGAAATCAAGGTCCCCCTCCCTCCCCCACTCGCAAAATTGCCTTCTTCGACCCGTTCAGATCCGCGACGCTCGCCTTGAGCGCGCGCCCCTCTCTCCCGCCCTTGCTCTCTGAAGATAGAAGCGAACAATAAAAAATAACACTCCCACTCCCCAAAAATGTATATACCACCCTCAGTGTGGAAGAGACTGGCTGATAGCCTGACCGTGGCACACGCAGCCGGCGTGCAGGAACTGTCACCCTGCCGCAGTCATCCTGGTCTGTCTCTACCTGGTTGATTGTTAACCCATGGTGAGACGAGAGAAGGCCGGTGGAGATTTCTACCTTCCTGGGGTCCCACCGCCGTTACCCGGTCCCGGAGCCGCAGCTCCAACCGACACCCGTGAGCGCGCGCGTGCACACACACACAGACACACACCGACGCTCTCGGCCCGAACGCGCGCGCACGAGGAGGTGCGTGCACAACGGGGTCCTCCGCCTCGCCTCGGCCCTGCAGGGAAAGGCACTACTGCATCCAGATGTGTAGGCAGCTGGTGCCCAAGCACAGGGACCTCCCGATGTGACAATATCTTGGAGGCGCCTTCGCCAACTCCATCTTTTGGATTAAAGGTCCTGGTTTTTAGATGTCTTTCTAGCTCCACGCACTGGTCTATTGCCATCCCGACCTTGGAAAAGTGCCACCCGTCTGGACCCGCGGAGCGGAGGGACCCAATGTTAGCCATTTATGCTTGCCTTGGTTGCCCACACATAGCTCGGGTACCTCCTAGCGGTTGTTTATTGCCATTTGCTTAAGCATCTCCTCAAGCGTAAAGTGTACAAGGACAAAGAAAGGCGGCTGCCTACTAACCGGGTTGGCTTAGTCATCAGGAAACCAAAATCTAAGGCCTTAGTTCCGTTTGCTTAGTGGACCAGTTTGCAGTGCCCTGTGCAACCTACACTGACTGCGATGCGGCCTTTCTCCAGCATCTTTCACCGAAAAGAAATGAAACGTGAGAAGTTGATAGAAAGTTATTCACATACACACACAAAACGAACCACCACCGTAGTCTCATTCTTCCAACACTACCTTGCCCTTTTAGGAGCATAACCCTGAAAAGCAGAAGTTTGCAACCACAAAATATGCCTTTTTGGGGTATATTTTAAGCTGATTATTTTAAGGCTCACACAGCACAGGAAGAACTTTTGACCTTCCTCTAACTGCTAAAAGAATTTAAGCTGGAAAGCCTGTAGCGGGCTTCAGTAGTAACCACCACCATAGATAACATAGTTTAATCTGAACTAGGTACAGGAGACGAGGATGAACCTTTGTGGCCCATTGCCTCTACATGTCCCAGGAAGTATTTGTTTACTAAAAATTAACATTTTTCATCTCCCTGTGACGCCTACTTTCTTCTCCTTAGTCTAGAATGACATATATAGCTCATTTTTGCCTTATTGTCTTTGGAATTTTCATGCTTATGTGAATTCCAGTGTATTAAATTGGATTTTTCTCCCATCAATCTGCCTTATGTCATTTTAATTGTTGGGCCAGTCTTAAGAACCAAGAGAGGAAGGGGAAATTTTTCCCCTTCCCCACAACCCCCTGTCCTCCACCCTGAAGCATGACCCAGAAATCTCTTTCTTAGGTAAACCAGTAGAAAGGGGAGATCCTGAAGTCCCAAAATTACCTCTTACCACAATGGAGCCTGATAAAGATTCTTTGAAATGAAAATCACCTAAAGTCCTGCAAAGTAACCAACCCAACCTCTTCTGTTCTGGAAATTGAAGAGAGACAGAGATATGGGGAGCCTTCCGCATAGATGCCAGGGCTATGGACAAATAATCTTCCTCCTTTGTTTCTATAATTTAAATAAAACACAAACCACCTCCAATTTTCTTTTCTTCCCTAAGTCCAAAGGATACTTGTAGAGTAAATAACAAATAATCCAACAACCAAAAATAAGACATATTGCAGTTATGGAGGGGCTATGTAAATGTTTCCTCATTTAACCTTATAAAAATACATCAAAGTTGTGCCTTAAACTGAGAGACTTCTGTAATGGAATATGCTGTTTAGCCTTCTTCTGAAAACTAAAATTCTCTTACCCTCGGTAACTGCTGCCCCACCCTAAATTCATGCCTCATTCCCTGCTTATCCTTAGCAGGAACACCAAATCCAGTCAAGCCATTGCCTTTCCCCTTCAGAGTCACATAGGCATCACTTTTGTCATTGTTTTGGGGGACACCTTCTTCCTTCCACGGGATGCTTTTTCCCCTTCCACACAAATCCAATGCAGCATTCAAGGCCAACCCAACTAGCCAGGCATTTCTCCCTCCGTGGGTTCCCAGACCAACAAAAACACAGGCTTTATGGGGTAAGAACTCGATAAATGTTTGTGATTTCTGCTCCTATCCTTGCTGATCTTCTGTTCTGAATGTCTATAGTATTTGCTGGTTCTGACAGAGAAAACATTTAGATATGTTGTGTTACTAGAATTTTTGGTTTTTTTAATCCTCACCTGATGATATTTTTTCCATTGATTTTTTTTTTTTTAGACAGAGAGGAAGGGAGGGATGGGGAGGGAGAGAGAGACATCAATGTGAAAGAGACACACTGATTGATTGCCCATGACCCCTACCTGGGCCAGGGATCAAACTTGCAACCCAGGTACATGCTCTTGATCAGGAATCGAACCCATGACCCTTTGGTCCAAGGGCCAACATTTTAACTGCTGAGCCAAACCAGCCAGGGCTGCTACCAGCATTTTTTGTCTAATTTGTGTAATTTTGTCTAATCAACAGGGCAGTAAGAGTATTTGGTCTCTTATATCAAGTGACAAACCTATGTTTTTGATCCAAATGAGGACTCCACATGACATGCCTACATGTCAGAGGGAAGAGTAGATACAATATTATACATTTTATTCATATTCTTCCAAGTGTACCAATTCGAGCTTGAGCGCATAGGTACTCAACAAATAATTGTTGCTTGATTGTTTGCTTGATACATTTGAGGGCCTCGAATTTATTCAGGCTGTTGCTAAGGCAGTGCTGTTTAAAAAAAAAGTATAAACTCTCATGGTTTAATGTTTTAAATAAAATATTTTATCTGATACCTAGTTATTCATAAGACTTTTAATAGATAGTTTAGGTGTTGTATTATACTTCTGCATCTGAGTACACATATAGGGTTTGCTCAGGAACTAAACAAGCTTTAAAATTCTGTAAATGTTTATTTAGTAAACCAGTAAACATGATGTGCAAAGCTACTTTATACCATAAGTAAACTTGATAGGCAGCACATCTGTGACGACCAAGTTGTAATGGAAGCTGGTGTAAGAGACGGAACCACCATAGAACCGACACAATGGAGAAGAGAGGAGAAGAAACACCTCTCATTGAAACACAGAGAAAACAAGATGTGGAAAAATGATCAGAAGGGAAAGGGAACACACAATTTATAAGTTAGCATGGATGCTAACGGGTGTGAAAACAAACATTAATAGTCACATAGAAGTCTCTTATTAAAAGATTGATAAAATTGTCAATGATTTGAGATAAACAAAATTTTTAATGTCACCCTTTCTTCACTCTCCTCTCAAATTCTTGCCAGAACAGCTTGGAATGGAGAGAGAAAAGCATAAAGACATGCTATTTTCACAACCAGTTACAACACCAAAGCAAACAGTGTTGCAGAATGAGGATAGTTTATCTGAATAAACTCATTTGCTTGTCTCCACTTCCTCTAGTGACCCCACTAAAAGGACAGTAAAGAAATAAAGAGGCATAAACTCAAAAGAACAAGAGAAAAAAAAAGGAATACAAAAGCTGACTGACAGGTCAAAAAGTTCAGAAGCAGGTAAGCAATTAAACGATGATAACTAATGTATCAGAGTGGAGAAAACTCTGGGCCTTCAAATGATGGTGTATGTGTTGGGTGAGTAGAATAGACAGAAGCCAATGACAAGAAGAAAATTTTGAGATGTTCTAAACTAAAGTACAACCACTGAAGAGTGAGAGAAAAAGGCAGGAAGAATTAACCAGTTAATATCTGTGCAGCAGGTAACAAAAGACCGATCACATTTCTGAATGTATGTTGGAGCTTTGAATCAACCTCCATAAGTCTATTAGCTAACCACCACATCCTTCATATGCATTAAATTTCAGGACTGTAGCCTGTAAATAATCAAAAGTACTAAATATTTCTTTTTTAAAGACTGTGCTTTTATCATAAAACTGCCCCTGGTTCACCCTTTTGCCACCCCTCTCCCCCCTGCCCCTTATCTATAGTTGATGTAAATTCTTTCAAAGCAATTTACATCTTTCTTCCCAAAAACATAATTATAAAGGTGCTCATCAATTCCAGGATGGTGGGCATGTTGCCTTCTCCACCTGGTGCTGCTGCTGGTGGTTTAGACTTCATGCTCCAGGACCTGGTCCTTTTCTGGGAGTCTTATGGCTCGATAAACCTATTCTTTTAAAAAGGCTTCAGATCTGGAAGTTGAGTGTTTTTATATTTAACACTAACAAGAATAAAGCTAACTTGCACTGCAGAGCTCCTGAAAGGATCAGAAGTTAGAGGCACCCGGTGCCTCTGGTGGTAGAGATGATGGATGAAGTGAACGAAGAGTTTGTTTGAAAGTCTCTAAAAGGAGGGTGTGAAGCCTCTAGATCTCATCCCCTAGCCTGCCTTAAAAAAGGAGGAGGTTCTAGAGAAATTGACACACACAAAGAAGACCTACGGATTCTGATATGTGCAGAAGGTCTCCCATCAAAC